TTTGGTAAGGAATTAATAAATAGCAATAAATACTTGGTTAAGAAATGCTGCCATTAATAAATGGATATTTAAAACCAATCAGGATGTTGGGGAAACCCAACATGAGCTACAAACACTAACAAATGAAACTACCTATAATAAAAATAAAAAACACAACTATACTGAAGGTAAGGGGAAAAGAACTAACCCAGGTAACTTTAGAAAACAGTAACTTGACTGTATGCTAAAAGGATAAAAACAAAAAGAACTGTGCACAAATGTTATATAGTCAGTAAATGTGTTTCTCATAGAGGCATTTATAAGACATTCTGCAGCTAATTTATGTGAATACTAGACTTGAACAGATACATAAGTAAGTTGTTAAAAATAAAATTAAGATTTATTACAATTGGAGAAAGAAATTACAGTTAAACTGGGGAGATTAAAATGATTTCCTATGGTATTAAATTGGAATTTGAAGTATTAGTGTAAACTCATTAAATACACACAAATATAGTTATAGATATATACATAGGTTAATGCACAAATATTCCTTAGTCCTGGCTGCTGAGAAGACCTACAAACAATGGCATATTAGTAGTAATTAACATACTTAGTGACAAGATCTTGGGTTTTTTTTTTTTTTAAGCATCATTCTTCTATAAAAGGAACTAAAGATCCTTGAAGAGGTAGTTATTTCAGGGCTGAGATGGAAAAAATCAAACTGAGCTTGGAATACCTTGTGGAAACAGGAAAAAAAGAGAATATTCTCAAAAGATATGAGGAAGGGAAGATTGTTGAAAGAATGAACTATGAGGAAAAGGACCTCTTAATGCCCAAATCTTTGAGCAACAAAATAAATAATTGTAGTACTGGATTATAACCCAAAGAATAGAAAAAAATCCTGAGTCTATAATGATATAAATACTTAATTAAATAAATAAGTGGAAGAAACATGAGCACTCCTCCTTATAGTAGAGTTGCAATTAATAAGCATTTAAAGAAGGGAAATGGAAGACACTGTTAGCCATATATCACAGTTTTGATTATCTCATACTTAATCCCATGAACAGAGGTGTGGGCTACAGTCCATGGCGTCACAAAAGAGTCAGATAGGACTTAGTAACTAAACAACAACAATAAATCTACTAATGGGTGCTAGAATTGGTGCATTTGAGAAGAGAACGTATTTGCACTGTCTCAAAGCATCTCCCTCCAACATATTTGTTGACTACAGGAGATATCATAGTAAATTTACAGTGGAAATGCCCAGCAAAGACCACCTTGACCAGGTGATCAAGGTCAGTGTCATCAGTAATAATATGCAGTGAAATCAGGAACCCTGTGATACAGTGTACTGTTGAAAGTAATGACAGCATTTCTGTGGTTCTCTTTCCAAGGAACTATGACCTCAGTCTAGTAATGAGAAGATACCAAATAGGCCTAAAGTGATGGACATTCCATAAAATACTCTTCAGGGCTGATAGTGTCATGAAAAACTAGGTAAGACTGAAGAACTATTGTAGATTGTAGGAGTCCAGGGAGAAACAACAACTAAATGCAATATGGAACACTGATTAGGATTTTCAAAAGGATAATTGTGGAAAAAATTATGAAGTTTAAATGGGGTAATTTGGTTAATGCTGTTAGCATAATGTTAATTTTCTTGTTCTAGCACATGTATGATGTTACCTAAGATGTTAACATTGGACGAGCCTGGGTGAGGGACATTTTGAAACTCTCTGTACTATTTTGGCAACTTTTCTATAAGTCTCAAAGTTCAGTTCAGTCTCTCAGTCATGTCCGACTCTTTGCGACCCCATGGACTGCAGCACACCAGGCTTCCCTGTCCATCACCAACTCCCAGAGTTTACTCAAACTCATGCCCATTGAGTCAGTGATGCCATACAACCATCTCATCCTCTGTCGTCCCCTTCTCCTCCTGCCCTCAATCTTTCCCAGCATCAGGGTCTTTTCCAATGAGTCAGTTCGTCGCATCAGGTGGACAAAGTATTGGAGTTTCAGCTTCAGCATCAGTGCTTTCCAATGAATATTCAGGACTGATTTCTTTTAGGATGGACTGGTTGAATCTCCTTGCAGTCCAAGGGACTCTCAAGAGTCTTCTCCAACACCACAGTTCAAAAGCATCAATTCTTTGGTGTTCCACTTTCTTTATAGTCCAACATCTCACATTTGACTACTGGAAGAACCATAGCTTTGACTAGATGGACCTTTGTTGGCAAAGTGATGTCTCTGCTTTTTAATATGCTGTCTCGGTTGTTCATAGCTTTCCTCCAAGGAGCAAACATCATTTAAAGCCATGGTGACATGGCTGTGGTCCCCATCTGCAGTGATTTTGGAGCCCAAGAAAATAAAATCTCTCACTGTTTCCATTGTTTCCCCATCTATTTGCCGTGAAGTGATGGGACCAGATGTCATGACCTTACTTTTCTGAGTGTTGAGTTTTAAGCCAACTTTTTCACTCTTCTCTTTCACTTTCATTGAGAAGCTCTTTTAAAACATTTTTTAAAGTTGCCATTATAAAAACAATCGGGAGGACTTCCACATTAGTTTCTATAAACAACTTTTAAAATAAGCAGAATATATGAGGTGACTGGAAAACAGCGCAGGATTGTGATTCCCAAAAGTAGGAAAACAGATGAGATAGGCTCTCCAAAGACCCTGTATTTCTACTTAGAGGCAGTGTCTAGACTGTAGTACAAAGAGGATAAACCACAACAGAGCACAGTGCACTGAACTAAGGACAGAGTGAGCAGAGTTTGTAACTATGAAAACCGCTGAAATTTGCAGGGCAAGTTGTTGGAAAGAAGAGAGCTAGGTGGAGTTAATGCTCCAGAAATCTGTAGAAGGTCCCCTTGGGTCTTTCACTGAACATTAATCTGCTCATGAAAAGGGAAGTACTCCATGTGGCTGGTCAAAGTGAAACTACCAGGGGAGTTAAAAAAAAAAAACAACAACTGGAAAGCAGTGAGCTGAACAACTACTGGAAGGCAAACAAGGCTGGGAGACTCTTAAATCTTGAATAGCCAGGGGGGACAGTCCTCTCTGAACACCCAAAGTGATTCAGTAGCGTTTCAGACAGATCTAAGCTATAGGGATAGCATGTAGTCCAAAAATAATGGCTACTGTACAACATCCTAACTGCCATCAAATCACGGACTGGATTTCTGAGGAAAGCTTAAGTTGCAACAAGAGGCCCCTTGTCTAAAATGTTTACAGCCACTGTAGACAAGTTAGATACAAGTTGTGTCATGGAATCCTGGCCTCTCTGGACTTCATATTCCCTCTTATGGACTCTGATCACTGTTCTTTCTCTGGTTCTTTCTAATGTTCCTTACTAGCTGGGAGTGTTCTGTCTGAACCCATTCCCTGACACCTGGTCATTCCAATCCAATCCTTCTTTCTCAAAGTGAAGAGGAAAATTGTATTGGCATTTCAGAATTCTAAAGCGTGCCCAGAGGAATTCTGGGCATCACTGAAGAAATCCCAGTTTCTATGGATGAGAGATTAAGTTAATTTTCTGCTCAACCTACTTAGAAAACAGGGAAATTAAAATAACTGTGAGACAATATATTTTCACCCAAAAGTTTGACCAAAATTAAAAGGTTGATAAAATTCCCATGAGAGTGCACACTGCATACATTAATATGTGAGGATATGAATCAGTACAGCTTTAGTTGAACAGAGTATCAGCAATATTAATAAAAATTTACAATCATCATCTTCTTTCCAGTTCAATCCAGCTTGCACTTGGCTATGTATTTTCTATAAGAGAACATACATATTTGCCCAAGAATTCAGGCAAGTTTTTTTAATCATAGCAACAAAAGGGAAACAATTTTTGTGTCCATCAGGAGGAGGATGTCTAATTATGGCACATACACACTTAAGAATACTTGTGAGTAGTTAAAAGGGTGAGATGTATCTGTATGTGCTCTCAGGGAAAGATCCCACATTTGTTTTAGTAAGTGACAAGGGCAAGAGGCAGAACAATATGTACACTATTATCCACGTATATTAAAAAGCTCACAGTGTTTTTTTATAACACATATGTAAGAAAAAGCCTAGTCAATTTTGAAATAACACAAAATGTTAATTGTAGTTGCTTCCGAGGATAGGGGTGAATTTTAGAGGAATGTGATAGGGAAGGGGAATTGTGACTTATCCATACTTTTAGTATTTGGGGGCAATAAGAGCATTAGCACTATTACTTAAAACTAGAATTTTCCTCTGGGGGAAGCAGAGACAAGAGGCAGTGCAAGAATATTTTCTTATCAAGGATGGCACCTCTGCCACAGAAGAATTTTCTACCTCCTAGAAGGACACCTTAGTTTTAAAACATTCGATGTAAATGTTTGCTTGTACCATGTTTTGTTTTCTTTTGTTTTGTTTTTTTACACCATGATTATTGTCATCTTTTCTCATCTGCTTCTTATGGAGGAAGCTTTGGTTTTGACCACCAAGGTAAACTCACTTATTGGTGTGTGTGGTCAGCGGCCAGTCTCAAATAATTCAGCCCATTAAAATTCTCCTGAAAATGCCAGGGTGGTTTCGAAAATCTCCTGTCTCACCTCAGGGTTATAACCCTAAGACCAGTAGCCTGTGTACCTGTTCAGTTGCTACACTTCTGTCCGACTCTTAGGGACCCAGTGGACTGTAGCCCACCAGGCTCCTCTGTCCATGGGATTCTCCAGGCAAGAATGCTGCAGTGGGTTGCCATGCCCTCCTCCAGGGGATCTTCCGGACCCAGGGATAGAACCTCGTGTCTCCCCCATTGCAGGCGGATTCTTTACTGCTGAGCCACCGGGGAAGCCCAACGAACAATAGTTTCTGTGCCAAATCAGACCCTAGTCACCAGCAGATTGGAAAACACCGAGAACGTGGTGGGGGCAGCCAGGGGGGATGAGGAGGTGTCTGAACCTCCCTGCCGGAAGTGACCCCTCACTGGGAAAGGGCAGCTGCGGCCCCGGGGTCCCGGGTGAGGAACCTGCAGAGTCGGGATGCTCCGAGTCAGGCAGCGCGGGGCATCTGAGTGGGCCGTTCCTCTGCGAGCAGAGCGCAGCGTCCAGAGGAGGATGCAGAGAACAGCTGGCCGGCAGGTCAGGTTCCAGTCTGGAGACGAGGGCACAGGGCTCGCCGGGCAAGACCCAGCGAAGGGCGCTGTCACCGGGAACGGGCGGGACCGCACACCCGTGCTGGGACCGGGGCGGTCAGCTCTCCAGGAACTCTGGCGCCAGGGGTGGGAGAATTCCAGGGAAACAAGCCCCCAGACACCCCCTAAATTGAGTTTCATTCTCATTTTCACCTTCTTTCTTCAGACTGCTTTTAGTACTTTGGCCACAGTGTCCTTCTTTTCACTGCCAGAAAGATATTCTGGAGAAATGTGAAAAGAAATGAATTAATAGACACAAGGTCAGCCTCAGACTGGGAGGAGTGGAGCAATGTGAGCTCTGGAGGAATTCAGACCAGAGCTCCAGTTTTGCCCTGTCACTAGCAATGTGAACTAAGCACATTACCAAATTCTGTGAGCCTCAGATTCTTCCTCAGTGAAGTGTGTTTGATAAGCTCTGTCTTCTAGGACTGTTGGAATGTGTATAATGTATATAAAACACCTGGCATAATGACTAGTGTGCATTGGAACTGTAAAGAGTGACAATTTTTGCCATGATATTTTTTGACCCCAGATAATACCAACCCTCCTGCTGAGATTTTTGTTTTGTTTTACTGTTGTTTTAATCCAGGAGATGTCTGAGAATATGCAGTACTATGGGATGCTGAACACCACATCAGCCAAAAATTCTGTTCAATAAGAAAACATACCTTAGTAAATCATGCCCCATAGAGGTTGTATTATTTAATTTGGCTGTTGGGGATTCTTCCCCATCTGGATGCAACTCAAAGCTCCTAAAATGTGTGTCAAGAACTAACTCCTTCTCTCCCTCCCAGCTGCCTTAGATCCAGATCACCCCATTTTCATTCATCTAACCCCTACCAAAATCAAGCCTTGCTGTGTACTAAGTCCTGTCCTACTGTGCCAGACTCCCCTGTCCATGGGGATTCTCTAGGCAAGAATACTGGAGTGGGTTGCCATTTCCGACTCCAGGGGATCTTCCTGACCCAGTGATTGAACTTGAATCTCTTACATCTCCTGCATTGACAGGTGGGTTCTTTAGCAGTAGTGCTACCTGGGAAACCCTCCCTTAGGGCTTGCCAAATTTCACTCAAATTAACCCAGTCAAAATACCTTTTTAATGAGGCAGGCTCTGTTTCTTCCAGTCCAGGGCAAAGAGTGTGACATGGGCAGAGTGACTTCTTGGCATCCCACCTCAAGGAAGTATCACCCTGATTTATCAGTAACTCCTTGGTGATGATGTGGCTAAATCACCTAGTTTGCGCATTGTATTCTCCAGCACTGGAACAGGAGCACAGGATACCTTCCATTCCCTCCCTAGGTGGAGATTTCTCTCTAGTTAATCCATGATCCCAAAGTAAGTGCTGAAAGCAGTTCTCCTTTGGAGGCTTAATTGCTCAACTCTGAGACACACGACCCAAGGGTCTGGCCCTTGCTCACCACCCTCACACACCCTCTTCTGGCTCACCACCACTTAAAATCACCTCCCATTGAAGAACTTGAGGTTTTTCCAAGGCTCCAGGTTGTATTGTCTCAGGACATTTACTCTTGAGTGCTCTCATCTGGCCCTCCCCTCCACCCCCACTCATCCTTTTCACTTGTCTTTGTCTTAGAGGCATCCCACCTCACTGTCTTTCTTTTTTTTTTTTCCCCATTTATTTGTATTAGTTGGAGACTAATTACTTTACAATATTGTAGTGGTTTTTGTCATACATTGACATGAATCAGCCATGGATTTACATGTGTTCCCCATCCCGATCCCCGCTCCCACCTCCCTCTCCACCCGATCCCTCTGGGTCTTCCCAGTGCACCAGGCCTGAGCACTTGTCTCATGCACCCAACCTGGGCTGGTGATCTGTGTCACCCTAGATAATATACATCACTGTCTTTCTTATATGATAGCTGCTGCTAGACTCTAATCCAATGGGAAAAGGCTCAGCCTTCTTTTTCTTACCGCCCCCCCCCACCACTCCATACATACTAACATGGAGCCTTCCAAAGAGCAACTGCTCAATTAATGTTTAAGGGGAAAAAACAGTGAACAATTTAGTATGATTTTATTTCTCTTACATTATTGAATAAACAAAGCCAAGTTCAGATATATAACTTTTATTTTACAGAACAGGAAAATATAAGGAATAAGGGAAACCAAGAATTCACCATCTACTTGTTTCTCTTTTTTTTTTTTTTTTGATCCCAACTATTTTACCTCTAATTTCTTTTGCATTTCTAAGGAAATGCCTATTCCAATGCTATCTTTTCTTATCTATCTATCTTATCTTATCTATTCCAGATCACTAAAAGAGATGGAAGGTTATTTGTTTAATTTGTTTAACAAAATAGCAAAACTATTACTCTTAAACTTCATAAACAGCATTAAGTTTGTAACCAATATCATTCATACATTTAGATTCTGAACTAAAGTTTTTTTTTTTTACATTTGAAATATTTTTTTAAGCAACATTTGAAAACTTTCAACAACAAAACATAAACCTGTAAGTTATTCAAATATGCAATGCAATGTGATCCCTCCAAGCACCCACACTACTTCAGGACAATGCTTCAGATTTCACTACAGGTGAGAGAAGCTGCCTCGGCCATTGGCCCCAGAATGCACACTGGCCACGGTACTGGTGCGAAGCATGGCTGCAAATCTGGCTCGGGCTCTCTCTTCTTCATCTCTTAAAGCTTCTTCATACAAGGATGGGAAGGCACTGGGGACTGTATCATGCATGCTGGCCAAGAATTCAAGAACTTTCATTTTGCTGGTTTCAGCATGGGCTCTCGGGCCCCACAGGAACTCATAGCGTGGAGGATCACTGTTGGGCACCTGGCGGTATTCCAGGTACCCTTCCTGCACCAGATCTTTGGTAATGAGCTTCTTGGGATCCCCATGGATGAAGTGCTTCCTTCCAGCATATATCCCCATCACATTGAGCACCTCCCAGACATCCTCCTCAGTGGCGCAATTGCCCTTCATGAAGATCACACAGAGGATGGTCATAAGGAGGCCGGTCTTGGGCATGATCTCCTCACCCCTCAGCCTGTCATCACTAGTGCGCTGAAATTTGCTGACAAGGGCATAGCAATGAGTGGTGGGGTTGACTTCCTTCACCTCAATGCCAAAGGCCAGCACCATCAGCTCAGAAGCTTTCCTGAGGATCTCATTGAAGTGCTTCTTGTACTTTTTGATGACATGCTTAATCATATCTTCTTTGGTAATGGGCTCTCTCAGATTATGCTTGCACAGCAGGAATTGCACCAGCAGAGTTACCTTCTGGTCTAGAGGTGTTGCACAGGAAAACTCAGTGCTGGGTAATGCCTGGGAGGTGCTTGGTTTTTCATTTTGGCTCTTAGCACCATCATCAGATCTGGTGCATGAAGCACCTGCAGAAGTAGTGGTAGTGGAAGGGGCTCTCCCAGACCCCTCGGATTTTCTGTCTGACCCAGAAGCAAGAGAGCTCTGGACATTACCACCAAGAGGAGAAGTAGGGGAAGAAGGGAACTCTTCTTCCTCTGCTGCAGAGGTCTGAGCATCTTGGAGATGCTGAGCCTCACTCCGGGCCTGCTGGCGTTTCTCACGGGTGCGGAGCTTACTCTTTTGCCCCCGAGGCATGATGACACAGATCAGGGACAGCAGGCAGGAGTGTGGGCAGGAAGACAGACAATGAGGGCACCTGGAGGAGGGAGGAGATGCTGTGAGTGCCTTCAACAGGGAGATTCCTCCCTGGCTTTAACCAAGACCACCTTTGCAGGTTTGTGTGAGGTTACTGCTCTAGAACCCACAGGGCTCCCTAATCAGCTTGCCCCCTGAGACTCCTGTAGATAAGTCAGTGTGCCTTGGGCTGGCAGGTCTAGGCTCTGTGGGGTACAGTCTAAAATCTTCTCAGTTCACATTTAGAATCATCTTGTCAACTGTTGGCAGGGCCCGGCTATCCTCCCCTCTGAAGCTCTGAAGCTAAACTGCTTCCAAAAATGGCCTTCCGTCCCTGAGACCCTCCCGTCCCCGAGGAGGAAATGAAGGAAAGCCTTAGTTGGCCACCCCTGCTGGGGCCTTCCGGAACTGACAACAGGAGCAGGGTTTGATGTGACCCCCTTTGTCCTGGACTATCAGGGTCTTCAGTTGTCACTCATGTCTCCCCCCCAACACACACACACCACCCCCGCCCCGCCCCGCCACGTCCCTCCCCTCCACCAGACCGAGACCCATCCGCCCGGTAGTTTGACAGCCTGACCCGGGGTCTCCCAGGGTAGACAGCAGGGACAGTGAGTGTATGTGCCCAGTTTAGCGTACCTTTAGTCCTCGCTCAGGCTCCTCTCCCTAATTCCAAATAAAGTCCGGGATGTTTTCCTCTTTTGATCGGAGACCATTAGCCTCAGATCAAAGGCTTCACTTCCTGGTACCTCGAGGTAGAACTGAGGGGTTGTTGGGCCTAACGGCTATGCCACGGGCCTCTTAGCGCGTGGCAGATCAGAGCGGAGTTCTGTGCCATCTCCTTTATTCTAGGGAGGCATATTCCCACAATTCTAAGCTTCGCCTCTCCCCTCCAGAGACCTGAGACCCTGGAGGGGGAAGTCAGCCCACACCTCCTACTGACAGCTCTGCCCTGGGCTTCCCAGGAGTGACAGCAGGGACGAGGCTGTGTGCGGGTCCGTCTATGTGTGGGGGGAGATTGTTACATCATTCCTCAAGGTGGAGGCAGGGAGTAGGGTGTCCTCTTAGCTGCTTCTTCAAAGGCTTCCTGGGTAATACTCACTCTCTGAAAACTCTGAGCTGTTTCTGTACTACAAACCTTACAGAAAATAGATAAGTCCTAGGCTAGATACCAGACGGGAAAGTTGCAGTGCAAGACAGGTTCCCAGGACGCATGGCAGGCTGTAAAAGAAAAAGCACATTGGCCCACAGCCGTTTGTTCGCCAGCCATACGCAGACTCTGGGGAAACTTCTACTCTAAAAGTTCTACTTTCTAAGGAGAAAAGGCTACGTTACAGAATTTTGTGAGACTCAGATCTTTTATATTACTAACATTGCACAGTCCAGTGTGGCCACTTTATTTTTTGACTTTCATTCATAGTAAGAAATATATTTACATCTCTAGCAAGTGGGTGTGTATGTGCATTTTTTTTTCATGAAAGAATACCTACCCTTGTTAAGTGTGATTCATTCTTTCCATTCTTTATATTTGATCATAATAGTAACTTTTTAAAAAATATCAGTCCTCATCCTCTAAAGAGGTTTCAGGTGGTTACTGCACAGCCTCTGGACTCATACTGTTACACCAAATTTTGGTTGCCATCCTGTCAGGTGGGCTCTGAGGAGATGCCTCAGGTTCCTTCAGTGAAGCAGTAGAAATCCATGGTCCCAAGTCACAGTGAAGGAAACCACAGGCTGAACCTTAAAATCTTTCTCCAACCAATCCTGTTGTCTGCCTCTCTTGCAGGCTACAGACCTGTCTCAACTCCAGGGCATGCCCCCACCTGCCCACGCTGAGGTTCTAGTTCAACACAGACTTAGTCTCTTCCAGGGAGTTCTCATTTATGTTGTTTTGTTGTTGCTGGTATTATTCTTTTCATTCTGGTTTTTGTAGTTTCTCCAGGATTGAGTTTAGTAAACAGCAGCCCAAGTCTGCTTGCCATCTTGGAAGCTACATATGAGGCAGTGTATTAACATGCTTAGGTTGCTGTAACAAAATACCACCGACTTGAGTGTCTTAACAACATAAATTTACTTTCTCACAGTTCTGGAGGCTAGTAATTCCAGTTAGAGGTGCTGGCAGACTCAGTTTCTGGTAAGAGCTCTCCTCTTGACTTTTTGCTGTTTTCACAGGTTGGATGGCATCACCGACTCAATGGACATGAGTTTGAGTAAACTCCAGGAGCTGGTGATGGACAGGAAGGCCTGGTGTGCTGCAGTCCATGGGGTCGCAAGAGTCGGACACGACTGAATTACTGAACTGAACTGGAACTGAATACAAGGTCTCTTCTCTAAATACACAGGTGGAGAGTGATACCTAGTATCACTTCCTCTTCCTTTAAGAACAGCAGCCTAATTGGATTATTGCCCCATTGTTATGACCTCATTTAACTATAATAATCTCCTTAAAGACCCTGTTTTCAAATGCAGTCACAAGGGTGGGTTAGGGCTTCAGCATATGAATTAGGGGCGGGGGTGGGAGGGCACAATTCAGTCCAAAGCAATAGTTTAAGGAAAATTGGCATATTTACAGTATTCTTTTCCCTATGAATAAACCTAGTGTTCTTCTTTATTTATTTGGGATTTCTTTCTCTATCAGTACATTTTTATAGTTGCCTCCAAAATGATCGTGTACATTTCTGTTAAATTTCTTTTTAGGTAAGTTTTGGATATTGCTGCTGTTACGGATAATGCTGCTGTTAAATTTTCTATTTAATTATTCTAATTAGCTATTGATTTTGTGTGGCCAGGCTCCTGATTTTTGTATAGTAATCTTATACACAATAGCTTTTGGAGTCTCTTACTCACTTGAGTGTTTTGTGCACTGGTTCCTTTAGGTTTTCTAATTAAAGGCTCATATTGTTGCATTATCTCTGTCTTTTGAACATTGAGTGGCCGGTTAGCTCCCCATATGGTCCCCAGAACAAACTCTATTTTCTGGGATCCCCTAGTGGCTCAGACGGTTAAGAGTCTGCCTGCAATTGGGACACCTTGGTTTGATCCCTGGGTCAGGAAGATCCGCTGGAGAAGGAAATGGCAACCCACTTCAGTATTCTTGCCTGGAAAATCCCATGGATGGAGGAGCCTGGCAAGCTACATACCGTGGGGTCGCAAAGATTTGACACGACTGAGTGACTTCATTTTTTTCAATATTCCTTCCTCTTATTTATTTTGATATTCTTATTCCTCTAGTTATGTATTCCAGGCCACTTTTAAACAGTAGAAATAGTACCATAACATCTGTGTCTTTGTTCTGACTTTGATGCTTCTAACATTCACATTTATCTAAATTTGCTGTAGATTTTAGGAAATGAAAATTCTCTTCAATTGTTATTTTACTAAAGGTTTTTTACTGTGGCATTAAGTATCATTCAAAGACTTTTTCTACACCCCTGGACATGATCTGATGCATTTCATCCTCTAATCTGTTAATGTTGAGAAATTCCAGGTGACAATTTTTTGTAATGTTATAATAGCTTTGCATTTCTTGAATTCACCCTCTCTATTCACTTCTATATTGGGTATGCCATGAATTTATTTACTGTAGTCGATGCCTCTATGTAAGTGAGATTAGCTCAAGTAATTTTTTTTCCCCCCTTGGGGTGTCATTATCTGGTCTCTGTATAAAGGTCAGCACACCTATTAAAATGAGTTTAGTAATTTCTCATCAACAGATTACTGGAGAAAGAAAATGTGGTATAAAGATATGATATTTAGAATGAACATTTTCACTAGAGAAATTATTAATGGTATACAACCATACAGAGAAGAGTAAAATGAACCCAATATACCTGACACTCAGAATCAACAATCATCAATAGTTAGAGGTTAAACACAATAGTTTAATGGTAACTGTTGATCCAGTTAACATTTGTTAGGTTTTTACTTTACAGAATTTGAAATTTCCAAATAAGGAATTTAAATAAATTTAAGTACTATTCTATTTAAAATAAAATTGCATAAAATGCTCAGTTAATACCAGAGAACACACACACACAGAAAAAAAAAGATATAGAAAAGAGCAAATGCAACAAATAGAAAACAGTTACACAAATAGTAGGTTTTAGTAAAAGTATATCAACAATCATTTTAAATGTGAATACTCTAAATACACCAGTTAAAAGGCAGAAATAGCC